GAGAGGTCACTCAGTATTATAGACTCTAGTTCCATCCAGGTTGCTGCAAAATTCATGATTTTGTTCTTTTTTATGACTGCGTAGTATTCCATCGTGTATATGTACCACATTTTAAAAATCCAGTCCTCTTTTGACGGGCAGCATGGCTGTTTCCAGGTTCTTACTATTGTGAACAATGCTGCGATAAACATGTGTGTGCAGGTATCTGTTTTATAGAGTGATTTGTGTTCTTCAGGATATATTCCCAGTAGGGGATTGCGGGGTCATATGGGAGGTTGGTATTTAGAGCTTTTAGGAATCGCCACACTGTTTTCCATAGAGGTTGCACTAGTTTACACTCCCACCAACAGTGTAGAAGTGTTCCCTTTTCGCCACACGCTCTCCAGCAGCTGCTATTTTTTGACTTGTTGATAATTGCCATTCTGACTGGGGTTAGGTGGTATCTCAGTGTGGTTTTGATTTGCATCTCCCTGATGATTAGTAAGGTTGAACATTTCTTCATGTGTTTGTTGGCTGCTCGGATGTCTTCCTTTGTGAAGTGTCTGTTCATATCTTTTGCCCATTTTATAATGGGGTTGTTTGTTTTTTTCTTTTCAGCACGTTTAAGTTCCTTGTAGATCCGGGATGTTAAACCTTTGTCAGAACTGGTGTTGGCAAATATTTTTTCCCAGTCTGTAGGCTATCTCCCTGCCCTCTTGATAGTTTCTTTGGCTTTGCAGAAGCTTGTCAGTTTAATAAGGTCCCACTTGTCTATCTTCTCTCTTATGTGGGTTTTGGGTTTTGTTCAGGAATTGGATGCCAGTTCTGATTTCCATGAGGGTATTTCCATCATTTTCTAAGGTTCTTATGGTTTGAGGTTTTACATTTAGGTCTCTGATCCATTTGGAATTAACCTTTGTGCATGGGGATAGATAGGGGTCCTGTTTCAATCTTCTGCATGTGGTAAGCCAGTTTTCCCAGCACCATTTAATGAATAGGTTCTCCTCTCCTCAGTGGTAGGTGGTGGAGATCAATCACATAATTGGACACAAATCAAGCATAAGCAAATTTAAAAGGACTGAAATTCTACCATGCACCTTCTCGGACCACAGTGGAATAAAAATAAACATTGACACCAACAAGGTGCCCCCCAAACACACAAAGACATGGACACTAAACAGCATGATGCTGAACAACTCCTGGGTCAATGATGAAATCAAAACAGAGATCAAAAGATACCTGGAAACAAATGAAAATGAAGAAACATCCTTCCAAAATCTCTGGGACGCCTTAAAAGCTGTAATAAGAGGGGAATTTATATCCCTACAAACACACATGAGGAAAATGGAAGGAACACAAATTAACAACCTAACAAGTCACCTGAAGAAGCTGGAAAAGCAAGACCACAAAAACCCTAATTTCAGCAGAAGAATCCAGATCACCAAAATAAAAGCTGTTTAAGTTTTGTAGGTATATTTCGTCTCAATCCCCAAACAAAAAGCTTGGTTTCTTTTGGAGTGGTTTCACAACAAAAAGGAGCCATCTCCCTTACTGGCAACCAACCACTCTATAATATATACTGACTTTGCAAACAGGGTGGTGTTATTCAGAATTCATTCATTGGGTAAACACTTTAGAGTGGCCCTTATGGATTAGGCATTGGGTTAAATTCTGGGTATATGAAGATAAAGACATAGTACTTACTTCTCATTAGCCTAGAGTAGCTCATTACAATGAACAGAAACCATTTTCTTAGTCACCTTATGCTGCTGAATAGTTAATAGGTACAAAATTCCAAATGGTGCAAATGAACCATTGATCACTATCTAGATAGCACTGTATGCCCAACAATAAAGCCTCAAAGGTTTCACAATTGTGTTCACAGCCCTGTTTGTACAAACTGTTTGAAAGCTTTTCCTTATGCTTAGGCCTACATTTCCATTGTCACTATATGAGAGACATATGAGTGCATAATTCACTGCTCAGGACTATGACTTATCCATAAGTTGGTCAAAGCAATATCTAAGGCTGATGCCCTAACCCACCTAAAAATTGCTGGTTGCAGATTCCAGATCACCTGGGGCCATCTCTTCTGAAGATCTCCCGGACTCAACACTTTAAAGTAGCTTCCATGACTCAATTAACCTCCAGTGAGAGGTATTTAATAATTTAGGTCACAACAAACCACCAATATGTGTTATCTGCTCATAACTAAGCCTTTTTACAATGAAAATATGTTACTCCCCTCCTCGAGTTTAGCTATAATATCGTTGACTGTACTATATACTATACCCATAGAAGAGTGTTAGAATCTATATCTGGTAGCCTGGAAAATATTTTTCCCCTGAAAAATAAAGATGCAAATAGCAGTATCAGGCCACTGGAAATGGTCCAATATCTCCCTTTTCTAGGAAACCAATCATGAGATTGTAATTGAGAATCCACGTTGCTTTCCAAGACCATTCCAGGTGAGGAGCACCACAATTCTCCACATGGGATGAAAGGGTTTTTTAGAGCCAGTCCAGTTCTGTGCTTTGACAATCCCAGCTCTGTGTCTGTTGAGCCACTTTGATGTGTGAAATGTTCTATTAGTTGCTTGGGATCTGCATGTTCTTTAAATGAACTTAATAAATTTGCAACCCAAACATGAGCCATGTTCTTTTTAACATGTGTCATCACCTATAATTGATTAAACTATGAGGCCAAAGTTACCACTGACCAAGACTTTCCAAGTTTCTAATTGTTCCTGAATTTCAATGAAAGAATACCAATAATATACTTTGCTTTCATTTTTTTAGGTTATAAGAAATGAGGTTGGCAATATAGGAAAAATGTGAACTGCCACCTGTTTTCATAAATCAAGTTTTACTGAAACACAGCGATTCCTATTCTCTTATATCTTGTCTATAGTTGTTTTTGTGTTACAGTGGCAGAGATGAATAATTGTGAAAGAGATCATCTAGCCCACATGGCATAAAATATTTACTATCTAGCCCTTTACAGAAAATATTAGTTGACCCCTGGTGTAAACTATTACATTATCTACAACATGGAATACTTACTCTTTAGTCTTACACAAGAAAATAAAAAAAAATCTGCTTTATCAAAATCTCAGTAGAGAGAAATTATGTTTACAAAGACTGTTATAAGGATATACAAACCCTCAATTCCTCAGGCGTTCCAGCTTCTAGCCATAGGTTCGTTTGGACTATATTTGGCCCAAATCAACTGACTTCTGACCACCTACTGCTGACATGAATTGGCTTATTAAATTATATTTTAGCTTTATATTTTTGCTTTTATTGCAAAATGCTACAAGGTACTCTTATAAAATCCACCTTTTAGTCACTATAGGAATATT